AGTCTATAGTTCAAATCTCCCAACCAGATGACCACACTGAGGATCAAAAAATACATGAACATGCTAAGTGAAATTAGTCAGTCAGAAAAAACTAAGAACTATATGATTTCACTCATATGTGGGATATAAAATTCATGAACACAAACAGTGTGGTGATTGCCAGAGGGAAGGGGGGGGTCCTAATAGAAGGTGACAGAAGATTTGACTTTGGGTGGTAGGCACATGGTGCAATATACAGTGTAACACCGAAACTCACACCTGAAACCTATATGTTCATGCTGACCAATGTCACCCCAATCAGTTTAATAAACATTTAAAAAAGAGAAATATATACACAGAAGTAGCCATAATTAGCATAAAAATCAATCAGAGAAGAAAAATGGGCAGATTGTTGATAAGGATTTGTTTGTCACTATCTGACAAGGGCCTGAAGCTGAAATTGTCCTTTAGGGGCAAGCACTATCAATACCTGAGAGGGACTAGGGATTATAAAATAGGCAGGAGGGTAGGCACTCCAAACATGAAGAACAATGGCGAAGAAATAACACAGTATATGTATGGGATTCAGGAGCCAAGGAGTTAACTGCCTGAGAGAAGCATGTAGTTTATTTGCTGGACCAGCTTCAAAATTTTGCCTGGCTGCTTGCCAGGTCTCTAAGGGAAGAGAATCTGAATGTTTTCTGTCTCTATAAGCCCTGGATTCTGTAGGCTCCCCACTAAGGTCTGCATGGTCTGAATGACACCTCTCCCAGGCAGGGATCACTGGGAAAAGTGGGTCCAGGGCTCTCTGCTACAGCCAATCTTTCTGTCCCTGCCCCAGATTTGTGCTCCAAATCCCAAGCAGAAAGGAGACTGAAATACGTTGGGATCTATAGGCTCCCAATCACACCAACAGACCCCTACATGTGCTGAGAACCCCACAGGTGAGACCTTGAAATTACCATACCAAATGGATTTTCCTGTGAGCTACCCAAGCACTGAATGAGTCTCTTTGCCAATCTTAAGTGCAACACGGAATTTCTGGAATCCTGAGGAAATAAATTTATGGAACTTCAGGGTAACTTTATGACCGTTAATGCCAAGGCCTTGATTTTACCACTGTGAAACAGAATTCCACCTGATCCTAATGATTGAGACAATATGAAAACAGGCCAACATCACTATCCTTCTGCCCCGTGCCCCAGATCTGTGCTCTTTCCTCAGTTACCCGACTCTCTATTGCTTCTACTATCCCGAGATTATCTTTTGTTTTCCTACAATTCCCATCTCAAACCACTTATTCGAAACCACATCATCCTCTCAGAATTTCAATTACCAGTATTAATTTCTTTACAACTGGTCATTTTCTACCACCCAACCCATTCCTCAATTGATTTCTATCCTTATTAAGTCCCATTCTTCACTAAACTGTCTCTCATACTGATCCATTGGGGTCTTTAAATCTCCACCATTCCTATTCCTAATGATTCACAGGTATTAAAAGAACAATGTAGGTCTATATATACTGGCTTAAAAAGAGATCCACAATAAATAGGACAATATAGTCCCATATAATAAGTATGTGCTTGTATGTGCATAGAAAAAAGTCTAGAACAGCACTATTCAAAAGAAATACAATGCACATCACAAATGTAATTGTAAATTTGTAATCGTTTCATTTAAAAAGTAAAAGAAACAAGTGAAAATAACTTCAACAATAAATTTCATTTAACTCAATATATCCGTTATCATTTCATCATGTAATCAATACTAAAAATTTTAGATATTTTACATGTTTTCCCAAGTCTCTGAAATCCACTGTATAGTTTATGATTATAGCACATCTCAGCTCAGCCTAGCTGCTTTTTAGAACCCCAGCCACCTCTGGCTCCTGGCTGTCATATTGGACAGCATGGACTTAGAAGGATACACACGAAACTGTTAGTAGTGGTTTCCTCTGGAAAGAGGAATTGGCTGGGGAGAGTAGAGGATAAGAAATCAGGGATTTTTACTTTTAATCTTATCCTTATTACATTTACAACAAACATTTCTATTTTATAATTAGAAAACAATAAAAGCTGACTCCAATGGACAGACCCTTCCTGCATTACTTGAGATGCCCTAACAGAATTAACCTTTCTTCTGATAGCATCTAATTTCTCTGTCTCCATGAATATATTCCTCCAAACCGCTTCTTTGTGACTCTATCCCTAAATGGTAAACCCTTACTCTTCACAGTTCTACAGTTTCTCACCATGCTTATTCTTTTCTCAGCTTTACTATTCCAAGGCTAAAGGAGACTTAACCACTCACTCATGTTTCATGATGTTCAGCTGCGGGAGGGCCTGATTTGGGACCACAAAACTCATTCGTGCACGGATGTCCTTATAATCTTGATTCCTTCTCTCGAAGTCCTCCACATGGGCAGCCAGGTGGGAATTGACAATACAAAACGTAGTATTGTGAAATACAAACCTCACTGCTACCCCACCTTTGTTTCCCTGTTGGCAAGAGTAATTGTTCAGTTAGTTCAAAGATACAAATAGCAACTGAACTTCACATGGACATAAGTAATAATCAAGCTCATTTCCAAAGGAACTCACCATTTTCCCCATGACTCCGGTTCCAACTGTTTCTGTAGCAACATCACAGATATACTGCCACTGATCCTTTCTGGCAAAGATCATGAGCATCATTCCAACAAGGCGAACTAGTTGAACCTATGAGAGCCAAGGTGTTAGAAAGAGTTCATGTTAATACCACTCCTTTTAGATACCACATATCTAACTTCATACAACTAAATTTCCATCAAGAAGACATAACAAATACCCAACCTGTATCCAAATCACCTAATTTCTTGGTGGACCTCCATGAAGAGGAAACAAAATTTCTCTTGGGAAGCTCTTCTGACCAGTAAGTTAAAAGTCTTCGGGGGACAATGAGTGCACTCAGCTCTAGAATCATTACTTTAATCACTTTTTTTTTAGCCTATCAGGAGTAGGGCATATTAAAAATTCAAATAGTGAAGAGAAAACCTCTATCCCAGCTTGTTCCTTTTTCCCTCCTTCCTAGTTTCTAATTTCCAGTTTCCCTTTTATTTTGATTATCTTAAGTCTGTGAACTAGAACTAGACATATGTCTGAAATATGTATTAGGCAGGGGCTGATTTGAGAGGAATAACATCATCAGGATATTTATCACCTACATCAACTGTTAGAAGATACAGATAAAAATTACTCAGGCAGATAACTCCTTTTAAAGGTCTTAGTGTGGTAACCCTGCAATTAAAACAACTCTTATGGTAGCCTCTACCTTGTGCCTTCTAAAGACCAACAAATTGGCCCACATTGCTAAAGTCTTAACTTATGACCAAGTTTAGAACTCATTTAAATACCACAACACTTTGTATTCTTGCTCTGATTCCAAAACATACCCTATGCATCTGCATGCTTCAAACTGCTTTTCTGTAAAGCATTCATTTCTGACAATGTCAGTGAACAATTTCAACCTTAAACTCTTACTCCACAAATCAGTGGCTTTATAGGTAATTGTTTTAATTATTGTTATAAGAACTTTTTTTTTCTCCTAAAAGCTAACTGAGCAATGAAAATACAGAATCAGAAAGCTCAGGAAATTTTTTTCTAAGACAGGTATAAAAAGGATTAGTCTGCCCTATTCCAGTATTACACATGAGAAAAAAAATCAATTAAATCATTCTTTTGGAACAAGTTATACATAACAATAAATTCTAGACAGTTTTACTTAGTCACATACTAAAAAGATAATTAAATGTGACTTACTTTCTTGTACTTGGCTTTGGAATGCAAAGCCCTTTCCACAGCCAGGGACCATTCTTGTTCTTTGATGGATTCAAAGTAGAAAAATGCTTCTGTGCTCAAGTCCAGCTCTTGGAATCTGAGAAGCAAGAGGATGTAAAATCTATACATATCCCATAATTATAGCTGACTACCTTCTGTCCCATTTTCAGACATTAGGTGAAAAAAGAAATGGGAGTGAAAGAAATTTTATAGAACTGCTCTGCTGACCCAGGTGATCTGTAAGGATAAGTAGCTTTCTTTTCAAAAGACTCCCCACAGCCCTAACCGGTTTGGCTCAGTGGATAGAGCATTGGCCTACAGACTGAAAGAACCCAGGTTCGATTCCGGTCAAGGGCATGTACCTTGGTTGCGGGCACATCCCCAGTAGGAGTGTGCAAGAAGCAGCTGATCGATGTTTCTCTCTCATCGGTGTTTCCAACTCTCTATCCCTCTCCCTTCCTCTCTGTAAAAAATCAATAAAATATATTTTTAAAAAAAGACTCCCCACAAGTATATGCACAGACTATTCAAGATGTATACACACAGCTCTCCACAAGGGATACAGAAGAGTTTTGCTTATACATCCTAGAAATAGTAAGTGTTAGAACTGACTCCATGTCTCAGTTTCTGTGAAGAATATAGTTTTCTGTGTATTTCAAGAGGACTAGATGCTTCCTTATACCATTTTAGACATCTGTTCATTTTTGATCTCACAAAATTGACCCACAAATAACTCTCACTTAGAGTCTACAGCAGAATTTTACCACAAAGTTTTTTGTTTTTGTTTTTTAAAAAGGCAAAATTTCACATAAACTAACACCAAACATACAGCCAAAAGGAAAGTCCAAATGTGTTCTTTACCCAATGCAGTAGATATCAGGAGGATCCGGATCACAGTTCAGCCAAGGTTCTAACCCACTATCAGGAGACTGGCCATTCACATTCCAAGTTCCAACAAAAAATCTAATACATAATACAAAAAAAAAAGTAAAAACAAATGTCAACAATGAACCAATGGAAGTTCTCTCATCACTTCTATACAATGGTATGTTCAAAATAAGCCAACATAATTTCTCAAATGTTTTGCCAAACATAAGAAAAACCGCCTGCATGTAGAACACAAAGGCAGTGAGCTTATTCTCTCTAAGCTTTACATTAGGTGAACCTATAGAAAGGAGCCAAGTCTCTATTTAAAAAACACAAAATTAATTGATCTGCCATATTTCTTTTCAATTCAACTCCATCCAAGCTCATACTTGAAGGGAGAGCTTACTGATGGGGAAGAGATATCGTCATGCTATAAGTGTGTTTAATATGGATAACTAAGAGCTGGTTCTTTGAAAGGATAAACAAGATTGATGAACCTCTCACCAGGCTCACCAAGAAACAAAGAGAGAGGACCCAAATAAACAAAATCAGAAATGAAAGAGGTGAAGTAACAACTGACCCTACTGATATACAAAGGATTGTCAAAAAATACTACAAACAACTCTACTCCAAAAAACTGTACAACCTCAATTAAATGGATACACTCCTAGAAAAATACAAGCTTCCAAAACTTTAATCAGGACGAATCAAAAAACCTAAATAGGCCAATAACTACTGCT